AGGTACGTAAGGTTAATCAAGTGCCGCTTTTGCAACGCTATTTGATATCTTTATCTTACGAATTTCTTTTGATTTCCGATTTCTAATTGGAATGAGAATGAGAATGAAAATAAGAATAGAGGGAAGAATTAGGGTTTCGTAAAATTTAGTATTTTGCTTATTAAGTGAGATTGAAGATAAACATAATATAGGAAGCGAGGGGGCTTGTAGTATATATATGGATTAGATTGAATTGAAATTGAATTAGAATTAGAGGATGAGAGTGAGTCTATCTATTCTACAACTTATAATTAATTCTAGATTCGCATTTATATATATATATATACCTAGGTACTTAATAAGATTGATTTTTAAAAGGGAAAATCTCTTCTTGACTTGGGATTAAAATATGCTATTTATTATCGCTAATATTCTCGGAGCATAGAGAATACAGGACGTACTAGGTAGATAAGTGAGAACTTACGCTTGACTCTCAGACTCGAAACTCAACTTCTAATATCAACTTGCAAAGTAAAGCTACTTTCCATCACAAAGCCTGAAAGCTACCTCTCTCTTAAACATCACATATCATTGAATTTAACCTTGACGTAATATCAATGAGAGCTGATCAAATCATGTATACATACACTACTTCCTCATTATCATATCTAAACTATGTATATCTAAAATCACAACGCCGAAAATACAATAGGTGGTATCATAAAGGAAGTATCCTGACCCTTTTTGCCCTTTGCGAAAAAAAAAAAACCAAACTTTGAAAACCATTCGAATCATCCAGATCGAAGAGACCGTACCGACCATCCATACCACCGACCAACCTAACCTAACCTCCATATTCCCATCTCCTTTGCTCCCAACCAACCAGTTAATATTTATACAAGACAAATCAAGAAATCTCTCCATCTCTCAAATTGCAACTCCAACGCTATCTCTTCCATGTCCATGTCCATAAGCCATACTCCATCTAGCCTCCTCACCCTTCTCACTCCCACCGAATGTTCTCGCGCCATCTCTACTTGGTGGCGCGACCTGCAACCCCTTACTATCCGCGCTAATTCTCACTTCATGCCCCAATCCCCGTGCGTATCTAGCTCCATATCCTAGACTTGGACTATCACTCCAACTCGTCGCTTCGTAATCTTCATTGCCATCAATCTCACTTTCGATACTACTCACACTACTCACACTGTGTGGGTTATGGATTTCTTTGACTTCGATGCATTGATAAAAGCCATCTCTAGAGGTTACGGGTCTGGGAGTGTTGGTAACGGAATCGAGAGACATGTGACGGGAGTGTTGTTGTTCGGAACCGGATGGGAATAACCAGGAGGAGACTCGCGATAGAGATTTCCTTCGATTTGTAATTTGAGGTGTTTGGAGAACCAATGGAAGAGGGGGAGGTAATGGACGTTCTTTAAGAAGTTTAGGTGCGTGAAGAGAAGAGTCTAGGGATTTCATGCGGCGAGGACGAGAGGGTGCGGTCTGAGGGCGATGATCGACATGGTGGAGTGGAAGCTCGGTGATGGGTGGCATGGGTTCTTCGACTTTGTTAGCATTTTCGCATTAGAACATAATGATGTAATGAGAGATCTACCTGTGAACTCCGAGTATATACTCTCACGTCTTTCATGTCGACTCTCAGCTCGGCTTGCACGACTTACTGGTCGACTGGCTAGATAAATACTACGTCTCTCGATAGCGTCATCAAGTTCTTTTAACTTTTTATCCAATTCCATATTCTCTAGCAATGCAGACTTTACTCTCTCGTATGCAAGTGGTTCCGTATTTGCTCTCAATCGTGTAGGACGTTCGTGAGGTAAATCACTTGACAAAGCATTCAACAACTCCTCAGTATTCATCGATCTCCTTTCCATAACTGTCGACAGAACTGGTTTTCTAGGTACCCTAAATTCCAATGCCGACTCGCTTCTCATATGAACCAAAGGACGATTCTTCGTGTCTTCATTGAAGTGAGGTCCAAATTCAGGCAAGGGCGATAATCGATTTCCTGGTAAGTATATGCTCAATTCTAACGGTCGCAATTTCGGTTCTTTCCTCAGTACGACTCGTTCGGGCTCTCTCACATAGCTCGTTTCCGTATGATGTTGGAAGTTATATGGCGCACTAATCACCATTCGATTTGACGCACGAGATGATAAATTTCTTTTCAAAGTAAAGCTGCTTGCACGACTTGACGTCCTCGATCGAGTTCTCGCCCATTCTTTTCCTCTAGTTTCTGGTCTTTCAAAAGCAGATGCTGTTGGCGGCCTTTCTGGAGGTTGTGATAATGGGGGAGATATTAATTGAGGTTGCCCATTTATTATTCGCATTGATTTCTCTGGTTCTTGATGTTTTGTTAGAACTCATACTTGCTGACTTGAGCATTGTGATTTGTTTGCTTACCAGAGCTCTCCACATCTTCCCCCGCCGCACAACAATTGATAGAAGAAGTTAACCATGCCATTTGCGCATCAGTGAGAAACCTGCTCAAAGATTGCATGACCACGACTTCATACCGAACACAATCTGAATTAAATGTAAAAAGAGAAAAGGACAAGAGACAAGAGACAATAGAAAACGAGAGTGAGAATATTTCCAAAGGGAAAAAAAACGGGAAACAACCAAGTGTAAAGCTAAGAGAGCATCATTGCGAAAGTATAGATGAGATATGAAGAATGTGATAACTCTATCTTAATGATTGGTTATCTAGGCATAAATGGGACCGTCGCACCAGACAGTCAAAGATCGAGACGCCGGAAAAAGCCTATTCGAAATTGAAAGGCAAAGGCACACCAAATTTGAGTTTCTTCGCAGCGGGTAAATATTGCATTGTGAGGCTTGAGATGGGTGTAGATGACCCATGATTATTCCACATTGCCCATGATTACCCATGATTACCCTATGGCGTGCAGATGCATGCTCACACTTGCTTGCAGTTACGCACAATTGTTTCTGTTGGTGCGTGGTGATAGGTTGTGATGAGATGGAGTGGGCGGGGTTGGAAGGGGAGATAGACCGCTAGATTGACTATTGGGCGGCAAATTTACCCAGTTAATTGAAAGGATTTGCCCCGACAGGAATGGTCTCTTGACATTTTGCTCACATTTTGGGATACTTTGATGGACTTTGATGGACTTTGGGTGGACTTGAAAGGAATGGAAGGATTGAAATTTGGATGGGATGGCTGTGAAAATAATTCAAGCAATTCTATTCTTTCTGTACCTTGCAGGACGGACTAACCTTTGTACTAATGCAAGAAATCATTTGAAGCTATTAAAAGAGATCTACAACAATACATGTATCTACCAGCTACCTAGCTATGTTTCTAGGTTTAAAATGCATAATCTGGTCGTTCAATAGACGTTCCTGTGATGAAGAAATCCGTGCGTTTTGACATCGAGGACGATCCGGCAGAGTAACCTAGATGTGATGAGATTTCCACACGATGTGATGTGTATTTTTAGTTTCTTATCACTTTGAAAGCTCAAGCTAAATGTTGGGATCTACCAAGTGACGCAAAGTGTGATGGTGGCTCATTATTCAAATATAATGTTGATGATCATCAGGTAGTGGTATATGCTAACTGTGTTTACAATGAAATGATACATTACCAACGCTTGATATCATCATTGCCATCGAAGAGGTAATGTAAGATTGGAAGGAATGAGAAGGATTTTGGTATGTGAGTAGCATGCCGTAAAATAGTCTTTCTGAGTAATACACGGGAGCGATTGTGTATCATACATCGTGTATCGTGCATCGTGTATCATGTATCATGTATCGTGTACCATGGATTTATATAATTGTATTGATCCCATTTGTTCGACTCAGAATGAGACAGAATGTTGCCATTAGATCTTTCGCCATCTTTCCTATCTTTGGAGTGGCACGGTAGCGACGCGGGGGATGTGTATCTGACACACGTGGTGATTAATCTCTGATTGTTGGTCGAGAAAGTCTTGGAAAAGCATGAATTAGGTAGGTCAGTAAAAGTCTGTTTATGTATGTGTGAAGACGAGAAGGGGAGGTAGGTAAGCTAAGATACGCTCTCTTCCTCTCATTCACCAACCAACAATCTGTTTCTGAGGATACCGTAATGTTCCACTGAGAAGAGCAGCCAAATGTGAATACCGGCTCCGCCGAGCTTAGAAGTATATAACATAGTAAGCACTCCGATTATAAATCTCACTCGCATACCATCCGTATATGCCACCATACTGCACACTACGAGTAAGAACAACTCAATAATGGATGCGACGTGTTTGAAAGCCCTTGCTCATGTAGGAGTTGTCTTCTAGAACGCCATAGATCCTGACTGTACATGCTTACTATAGTAATGCCTAATATTCATCACACTCAGGATTCGGTATGGTGGTCGCCGGAAGCTTGAACACATCAGCTTAAAGCTTAGGATTCGTAAGTTCGTTCTCATTCTTCCGAAGAATCAATTTTGCAAACCTCAGTATCTGTCGGCAATCTTGACCAACAGCTTTTTCGTTGAAAAGAGACTCGAGAGACCTTTTGCAATGCGCGGTAGTGATTGATAGTCATCTTGTGCCTTGTCCAGCTGGCTGTTGTTGGATACTTTCCCATCAAATCAAATAGATCATGCTGAGAATGATTTTTAAACAGTCGTATCGTAATTACGCAGTAGAACAGAGCGAATATCTGACTATCATAGGTGGTGTGATCTCGTATATATTCACCATATGAGCCACCGACAATTGGATTTAGATGGAGACCTCGAGGGATGGTATGTTATGGAGATCAAATGTTGAAGGCGCAATTCCATGATTGAAGACAGAGGGAGAGATCTTAATAGATTCGGTGACATGGAAACCAACTGTTAAATAACTCAACTACCATCTCCTTTGATTCGGTCGACAGGTACAGAAATGATAAAAATGGAAACACGATGATCAAGTACAGAATCCTATTGGTACTCGAATTGTCCGATGTGGCTAGGGCTTAGGGGGGCTGATATAAGGCTACTGCGCGAGATCGGGAAGCTTAATTTGGCTACGGACCCCTTTTGTGCCAGCAAATTCAAGCAAGTCCCTTACCATGTTTGAACGAGAGACTTTGTTTGGCTAATTATATTCTCAAAAACCCCTCATAATGTATGAATTTGGGGGCCATGTTTGAGAAAACCTTTGGGTTTATTGCGTTCTATTGGTCCCGTACGGCAATGTTTACTCGTGCTGACCCCTCATTATGGCGCAGATGCACAGGACCAGCGCAGACGTTGGGGGATTCAAGTGGATCGATCTAATGTCTAGAACTCAAGTAACTGGTATCGTGAAATACAGCACGGAGTCCCTGATCGTTCTTAAAGGAAGTCACAAGTGCCATGTTTCGTTCTTGCTGTACTGCTGTACTCGACACCTCGATCATTCCTTACTTTTCTTAGCACTTGATTTGACTTGAGTGTTTCAACAAAAGATCATTTTTTATATTTACAAGTCTGTCATTTTTATGTTCCCTCTCATTGCTTTCATATTTCTTTATGATTCACGGCTCTATTATATGTAAATACTTGCTCCTACACACAGACGCTCTTTGCTTTTGGCACCACCTTGTGAGGAAAGCAGAGGATGTGTATGCATCTCTGAATTCACCACTGCTAATATGCATGATCATATATAACAGTTCAACAATTTCACTATTTCTTGGACGGTTCAGGGCTCCATAATCATGGGATTGAAACCAACTTCTAACACATCTCGATTTTTTGAACACCTTTCTAATGTATCTTTACACTGCCCTACTCGGGCTCATAAGTGGAGCGGTAGCTCAGTCTACTGTAGATTATTCACGATATGTCCTCACATCAGTAAGTTGATACGATACCCAGTACCGGAGTTTACCTAATGTACTTTCTAGAATGGCGAGGCCAGTGGAGGCAATACTTTCCCTGGAGTTTCTTTACCTTTTGGTATGGTCAAGCTTGGGCCTGACATGTTTACGGGAAGTGATAGTTATTCTGGAGCTGCATTGAATGGTAACTTTACCGGATTCTCTATGATGCACGAGAGTGGAACTGGAGGATCACCGAAATATGGTGTTGTCTCACAGATGCCAATACTTGGGAACATAACCAACCCACTGGCCAATCTGAATGATACTCGGGCCTCTGCCGATATCACATCGGTAGGATACTACAAAGCTTCGCTGGGAAGCAACATCACTGTCGAATTGTCGGCAACAAGTCGTGCGGGCTTTTATCAGTACACATTCCCAGAGGGTAAAGGCACCCCAAACGTAGTTGTTGATGTGTCTCATGTATTACCATCCTATCGAAAACAAGGCCTTTCCCAGAATTACCTTGGCGGGAATATTACTGTGCTAGAGGATGGGCATTATGAAGGATTTGGTGATTATAACAATGGATGGAATATGGCACCTGACTGGAGAATATACTTTTGTGGCTATTTCGAAAGTCCAGCGACATCAAAGACATTTATCGGAATGAGCCTAAGTGGAAGCGCAGTTGCGAGTTATGGTACAGAAAAATCTGCTTCTTCCAAAACTCGACTAGGAGCCATATTCAGTTTCAACACTACAACGGTAGTCTCCAGAGTAGGAATATCTTTTATATCATCAGCCCAGGCTTGTGGAAACGTCAATTCACAGATACCTTCTGGTGCAACGCTCTCCACCTTGACCAACGATGCGAAAAGTGTCTGGAACACCGAAGTATTATCCAAAGTCACGACTACCGAGACCAATAAAACAAGTTTGCAGTTATTGTATAGCTCCCTATATTTCATGCACTTACTACCATCCAACCGGACCGGGGAAAACCCACTCTGGACTTCATCAGAGCCATACTATGATGATATCTTTACAACTTGGGACCTATTTCGGTGTACCTTTTCGTTGCTTCATATACTTCAGCCAGTAGCATATGAGGAGTATATTCGATCACTGATTGACATATTTCGATTTGAGGGTTATATGCCAGATGCGAGGTCCTCGAACTTCAATGGTGCAATACAAGGGGGGTCGAATTCCGATAATGTGCTAGCTGATGCCTATATAAAGGGAGTGAGAGGGGCAGTGAATTGGACAACTGGATACCAAGCTATGGTCAAAAATGCTGAGGTTACCCCAGCTAATAACAACGATCCTCGAGATAATTCATCTTCGACGAAAGAAGGTCGTGGAGCCCTTCCCGATTGGTTACAGTATGGGTATATTACACCAAAATATGGCCGATCTGTGTCTCGAGCTGTCGAGTATTCTTTTAACGACTTTTCCCTTTATCAAGTAGCGAATGGGTTAGGAATAAAAGACGACGCAACTAAATACTTGGAGAGATCTCGTAATTGGGTAAACCACTGGAACCCGAATGCTACTTCTCTAGGGTTTAATGGGTTTCTCGTTCCTAGAAGTACTTTAGGATTTATCAAACAGGACCCACTCTCGTGTGGTGGATGTTATTGGGGAGATGCTTACTATGAAGCACTCCCTTGGGAATATTCCTTTAATATGCATCAT